AACTACTGACATTGAGGTTAGCAGCTTAATACTTAACCTACTACTCCGCAAAGACTCCTCTGTCAGCCAACTAATAGACCTATCAAGTGAATAAAAGCACCAGGGCAGCATACATTCCTTAAAATAACCAACTATAGAGGAACAGCAAGCCACATTGGCCTGGTTGACAGGTCAGGAGTCAGGAGCGCCTAGGGAAGGACCGAAAGGAGATGAGAAACACAGAGAGGCTGAGACAGGATGATTCATAGAGAACATATGTGCAGTTGCTGGCATGCACTATGATCTCCATCTAACAAAGTCACATGGCTGGGGAACGGTCAGGCAGATGATTAATGATAAATTTCAGGATTAAATGCAGGCCTTCTGTGATTTCTTCTTGTAACGTTCTGCTGAAGATGGGGAGGGGGGAGGACATAACTTAAGGGAAGCAAGAGTCATATTAATCCTCAACATTTTGCAATCAATTTTAAAGTGTTAGATGAATGAAGCGTGTGGCCCCACTCTGCTTCTTTGTGTAAACTATGTATAGCCAACAGCATCACCAGGTCTGCTGCTTCAGGCTTTGTGTTATGTGTGCTTTTATCTTGAGAAGATAGAGGACCTCACTTCAGGGCTGAGTCTACAGGCATTTAATTAGAATTCAGGGAGATGCTAATGTGCATTCAAGAAAGCATTTCAGTGCCTGTTTGCATGGCAGCTCTCAAAAGGGTTGGATGGAAAAAGAAGTGATGGGTGTTTATTGTAAGGGAATAAAAGGGGTTAGTTTCTTTGAAGGCCAGGAATGTGACCTAGATTCCCAATACTGTGATGTGTGCTCTGACAGACACCTTTTCAAAGGGAAAAAGAAGCCTTGGATAGAGAGCCTGTGTGTAGAGTCCAGTCAATTCACATCAACTCTCTTTGAAATGGTTTCCTGATCCCCTGAGAAGCCTTTATTTGATATATGCTCCATGTTGGCAGCTTATCTGGGCCTCAGATAATCACACAGAGCAGCTCTCTTCTAGATTTATCAGTGCACTCCTGGCCTCAGCAGGCTCGTCATTGGCTCTCTGAGTTTAAACAAACAGAAGTGAAATCTGCTAGACTCCTGGGTGATCCCAGAGCCATTGAGCCTTTCTCAGAGTAGCTGCTCTTATTTCCTTAAGAAAATGGAAAAAATAATCAAATGTCTTTTCAAAGAAACTGAAAATCATTCTACAAGATTCTTCTTTTGTGAGCCAATTGGCAAAAGTTCAAAGATAAATGGTATGGGAAATAGATTGTATGGCTGATTGTATGCTGAATGGATTTAGAATGTCTGGGGTTAGCAAATCCACTCTGGGTTTACCAGTCTGCAATTGATATTTCCCACAAAGGCAGTTTCTGAAGTCCTTCCATGTAGGATATAAACCCTGTACTTTTTTGAACTTTCAAATCCTCTTGCTTATCTGGGTTTTTGTCATTTTCCTATACTTGAGGGTATAAGCTTCCTGAAGGTTTGGATCATGATTTTATGTGTGTGTGTTTGTGTGTGTTTCTTTTCCTAGCATCTAATAAAGATATGAATAAGTGCACGTTAGCTGTTGTTCCTTCCCATTTTCAGTCACAGCACTCAGAAGGGTAAGTGAATGTCATGAACCAAGCTGTGCTCCATCCCTATCAAGAAGTTGGTTTCATCCACAACTTAACTTTTAAGAGGCAGCCCTTTTGCCCGTCTTTCCATTGGAAGTACTCATCTTTGGCCCTATACCAGACAATATTTCACTACCATTCATCGGATTTTCATTAGTCATTTTAAATTTAGAAATGAAATGCTGTGTCCTTTTTCCCATTCTGTCTTAGTCTAAAAATTCTGTTGGAACTTGCCCATCTTGAATATCCCTGCTTACTGTTTGCAATGCTGGTCATAATTGATAACATCATAGAAAAACACCAGCCACTGAGCCATAAGCTGATTGACGTGTGGTGGGAAAGAAAATAGAAGCAGTTAACGAATTGTAGCATGAAAAATGTGTATGGCATCTTAGACTCTTTCTGAGAGAAATAACAACCAATCCCAACTGTAAATTAATATGCCTCCTTAATTGAAGACTGTGGGACTGTCTTATTCTTCAAGGACTTGGAAACACTTGATGTTATTGGGTGAGAATGCAAAACATGTAACTGACATTATTTTCCATGTGACAAACTGAGTTGGTGAGCATTGCCTAAAGCCAAGTGAAAACTAAATGGAAAAAAAAAAACCTGCATGAGTCTGCTGTGACCTTGTCATACATTTCTAAGAAACTACACCAGTTCTCACGGTTAGGAATCTGACTTGTGTTACTGGGTATCACTAGTTAAAAATATAAACTTGTAGGGTCTTACTCATCCCAAGACATCTGTAACATTCTGTGCCAGCTTTATTGCTCCTGGCTCATAGACTTGGGGAAGACATAGTCTCTGAATGAAGGTATTTTCCAACATTTCAAAAATGTTAATTGGTGATATTGTCCTTGCATCTATTTGGACTCCTCACGGTGCCATCTATGTAGAGCCAAAGTGAACTAGGCAGGGTTTTCAAGGTTGTGAATTTTAAGTAGCAGATTCCTAGGCCTTACTTCTAAAAGACTGTACGTCTTTTAGGAGAGCAGGGAGCCTTATATTTCTACTGCACAGAAGTGAATGGTTTTGAACTGCTAACCTGTGAGTAGCTACCCAACACATAACTCATTATACCACCAATGCTCTTCTTACTTCCTCCAAGGATGCCTGTTTACTTCTCCTCAAAATCTACTTCTTAATATTCTTTTTTCTTACACATGTGTTTCTTTCCTCTCTCCTCTTTACTATTAACTGCTCTGTAGTAGTCTACATTCAACTATGTCAAGACGTAGCATATGATCTAGAACCAAGGATATGGAAGAAAAAAGTTCAAACTGTACTGACATTATTAGGCAAAAACAATATTCCAGGAATTGATGGAATACCAAATGAGCTGCTTCAAGAAACTGATGACGAACTTGGAGTAGTCACTTGTCTATACCAGAAAACTTGGAAGACAGTTATTTGTCCAACTGACTGGAAGGGATATGTATTTGTACCCATCCCCCAAAAAGGTGACTTAACAGAATGCTCAAATTATAGAACAATATGAATAACATCACTTTCAAGTAAAATGTTGCTGAAGATCATCCAACAATGGTTGCAGCAGTGGATTGACTGGATTCAGAAGACGACATGGGATAAGAGATATCATCACTCATGTCAGATGGATCTTAACTGAGAGGAGAGAATAGCAGAAAAACATTTACTTGTGTTTTAGTAACTTTGCCAAGGCATTCGACTTTGTGGGTTATAACAAAATTTGGATAGCTTTGAGAAGAATGGGAATCCAATACATTACATTGTGTTCATGAAGAGTGTGTACATGAATCAAGAGTTAACTGTGCTAACAGAATAAGGTAATACTGCATATTTTAAAATCAGGACAGGTGTTATTCAAGGTTGCATCCTTTCACCATGCTTATTAAATCTGTGTACTGAGAATCTCATTAGAGAAGCTGTATTATATGAAGGAGAGTACAGTATCAGGTGTAGAGGAAGTTTATTAACAAGATTTGATATGTCGATGACACAACTTTACTTGCCGAAAGTGAGGAGGACTTGCTCATCTTGTTGACCAAGATCAAAGACTGTAGCCTTCAATATGGATTACAATTCAATGTAAAGAAAACAAATACATTCACAAGTAGACCAATAGGTAACATCATGATAAAGGGAGCAAAGATTGAAGTTGCCCAATGTCTTATCTTGCTTGGATCCACAATCAATGCTCATGGAAGCAGCAGTCAAGAGATCAAAGGATGCATTGAATTGGATAAATCTGTCACACAAGATTTCTTTAAAGTCTTCACATTCAAGAATGTTACATTGAGGACTAAGGTACACCTGCCCCAAGCCATGTTATTTTTAATCTCTTCGTATGCATGATAAAGTTGCACATTGGACAAGAAAGACTAAAGAAGATTTCAATGCATTTGAATTATGGTGCTGGAAGGTACTATTGAGAGTACTATGGCCTGCTAAAACGAAAACCAAGTATGTCTTAGAAGATGGACAGATAGAGAATATCACTGACAGGCAAGGATGGCAAGAATTTTGTCTCATGTAGTTTGGGCATCTTGTCAGGAGAGACCAGTCCCTAGAGAAGGACATCATGCTTGGTAAAGTAGAGGAGCATTCAAAAGGAAGATTTTTGACAAGTTGAATTGAAGCAGTGGTTACATGGATGGTCTCAAAAGTAAGAACAACTGTATCTTAGAGGGCTGGACAATGTTTCTTTCTGTCATACAAAAAGTTGGAACCTACACGCCATCCCTAACAGCAACAAAAGGCTTCATGCGCCTCTCACTAGTTGATCTTCATGTGGCTTCTTCCCCTCTTTAGGGCTCATTTTCATTTATGGATCTGCAACATATTAACATTGTTCCTGGCAGCGAATGCCCCAGATTCCAACTGGCACAGTCCTTCCAAGTTCATCTCTACTCAATAAAATCGTGACAAGCTTTCATTCATTCCTGTCATACTAGTAGACATTTTATACGTGTGTAATATTTCCCAGTTTAATTTTGACATAAAACATTAAAATTGATTTAATTTAATATATACATTTAGATTAATAAAGATTGAAGACACAATTTTGAAATGTATAATATAGAATGACTGGATACATCTCTTCCATGGGAAGAGCTAAGGAAGATAATTTTTAGACACTTTATATCAAGAAATCCTCCTGTTAAAAACTCTGGTTGTGAAGTCTACCTGTGCTACCCTCAGCACCAACTTTTTTTTTCTATATCATTTTTCTAAATATTAGCAATTCTCAGAATTACATTCTTCTCATTCTAGGTAGTCTATGTAGGTAGAATATATGCTTATCTTACTTGATAGCTAGAAATTATTTTTGTAGTAAAATTTAAATTTCTTTCATGTATTTAAATTGAATATATATAAATGGCAACTTTGTCTGTGTCTTTCAGAAGGTGTTTATAAGACCCAAGTGAGGATTGACCATGAGTCAGCTTATCTTGACATCTTGGACACTGCTGGTCAGTTAGGGGATATTCTTAGCCCTTTCCACTACAGAATGCACTTTATGCTTTAACTACAAATACAATTACTACAATTTAGAAATTGAGCTTCACTATTCAACCAGGAGAACAAGTTTCAATAGCATTCAGGAATTATATAAGGAAAGAAATACACCAATATTAGCTGAATATGTGATTCATTAGCAACCGAACCATTTCAATGTATCTTTAATGTTCTCAATATTAAAAGTATAAGTATGCATTTAATTTTGCCATTAAGATGAGGAAATGAATAACATAATTTATTATTTTCTTCCTCATATGTGCACAAAATTTTGTCCTATACACTAATGTACTCATCATTATCATTACAGAATTCTAGTTGAATATATATAAGAGGTGGTACCTAAAATCCACTCTTGAGAGACAATCCAAAGGAAGTGGATATATTTTTTTACTTCTGTAAAATAGAAGTACAAGTTTATATATAGATAATAAAATTAATGATAAAATAATGAGGAAAACGATAAAATTATCTACAAAGGGGCAGGACAAAGTTTCCATCATTTTAGGATAGTATACTCAACTAAATGATCAATAAAGACTGACACAGTAAATCTATTTTTAGTCAGAATCTAAAATTGGTAACTACTAACACAGGCATATTACAAGTATTATTAACAGTTGTGCTTTCAGAAAGAGTGAGTGAATCCAGAGATAAGCAGAGAAAATGTGGGGCAACAGTGAAAATCTAAATTAGTGAACAATTTACTGGTTTAGTGTAAATATGAATAGAACTCTACTGGAAAAATTATGATAGTCATGGATGATAAGGATGATGATAGGAAGAGTAGCAGGAGAAGATAATGGCATATAATATATGTGAACTCATAATATATAAATGCATTGATATTTTATCAATGTGAATATTTAGTTAAATATCTATTAGTAGTAAATTTAACTATTGGTAGTAAAATTAAATTAATAGTATATTGATATTTTCTAGAAACACAATGGGTATAATATTAATAAATTAATAATTTATGTCAATATTATTATGTAAATGATTAAATCAAAGTTGGAATTAAAATGCTAACCATGATTTATCAGCAAATTTGAGCAAATTGATCAAAGTTGAACACATCACAGCCATTATATAGGAGGACTGCAGATATTTCATTTAATTTTATAGTTTTAAAATAACCATATTAAATATGTAAATTAATTTATTAATTGCTGTGCATGAACTGTGTGATTTCAATCTAGTATAAGAAAATAGATAGATAAATTCAAAACTGTTATTCCAATAAAATATAGAAAGGAAAAAATAGCCAAGTAATTATATTTAAAGAAAAAAAATTCTATACATTAGAAATCACATTGAATGGAAATATATCTATATCTTCTAAAAATCAAAAAGTGTGTCAGTGTCACGTTCATTAAAATAATAAATGCAACCTGTGTTAATTTTAATAAAAGGTGTAGCTATGATGGAAAGCCTCAGCAAAGTCTTGGTGACAAAATTAAGCTGGACATGGAGTGATAGAATTTAGAAAGACTAATGACTTTTTCATTCAAAATGTCTTTTTTCAAGATCTAAATACACATGGACTATTCAAGATGGAACACATATAAATCAAATTTACTATATCTATGTGCTGAGATGATGGAGAAGCTCAATATCACCAGGCCAGGAGCACCTTGTAAAACAGATCATCAATAGCTCATGCGTAAGTTCAGGTTGAAGCTGAAGAAAATTAAAACAAGTCTACAAGAGCCAAAATATGACCTGGGAACTATCCCACCTGAATTTCTGGAACATCTCAAGAACATATTTAATTCATTTAAATATTATTGCTTTTAGACCTAAGGACTGTGTGTGTGTGTGTGTGGGGGGGGTGACATAAAGAACATCATACATGAAGAAAGCAAAAGGTTATTAGAAAGGATGAGAGAGAGAGAGATCATCCTAGAGAGGAGAAGGGATTCTGAAGCCTGCATATAATCGTCATAATCAGAATAGAGAAGGCAAATGGAAGAAATGATAAAGTCAATGAATTGAGCAGAAATTTTCAAAGGGCAGATTAAGAAGACAAATTAAAATATGATAACTATGCATTAAAACTCAATGTAAAGAAGATCCAAAGCCTCACCACAGGACCAATAAGTGATACCATTATAAATAGAGAAAAAATTAATGTCAAGAATTTTGTCAGACTTGGATCCTCAATCAATGCTTATGGAACCAGCAGTCAAGGCATCAAATGATGCATTGAATTGTGTATATCTACTGCACAAGAACTCTTTTAAGTGTTGAAAAACAAGGACGTTACTGTGAAGTCTAAGATGTGCCCAACCCATAGTGCTTTCAATGGCTTCATATACATGTGAAAGTTGAACATTGAATAAGGAAGACCAAAGAGGAATCAAAGCATTTGAATTATGTTAGTGGTAACAAATATTGAAAGTGCTATCAACTGTCAAAAGAACAAACATCTGTCTTGGCAGGAGTACAACTAGGATGCACCTTAGATATAAGAATAAATAGACTTTGCCTCCCATATTTGGGACATGTTGTCAGGCGAGACCAGTCTCTGGAGAAGGACATCATGCTTGATTAAAATAGAGGGGCAGTGACAAAGAGAAAGACTCGGGATAAGATGGATTGGCACAATGGCTGTCACCATGGGCTCAAACAGAAGAACAATTGTGAGGATGGTGGAGGACTGTGCGGGGTTTCCCTCCATGGGACAAAGAGTTGCTGTGAGTTGGAACGGACTCCATGGTCCCAACAACCACAACATGATGAACGACTGCAGTAAGGGGTGAACATATGATCTAAACACTTAATTTCCCATAAGTACAAGTGAATAAGATTACCAGGAGAAATATGTAAAACCAGAATTCCGTATCGTGGAAAATGTTAATACATCCTCTCCATAAATGTCATGTCAAAAAGTAATACGAAGGTAAAGATTTGAAAATACATTTAACAATAAAGGAACGCTGCAGTCAATTTTTATTTTTATTGATTTTGAATCTAAGATATTTAAGCGATTGATTATTTGATCTATGCAAAATTTTTCTTGTGACTTAGAATGTGATACATTTTTATAAAATGAATAATTTAGTGATTAGCTCTTTAGAGAAGATAGAGCAATTGAAAAAGGACAGAGAGAAAAGTTGACTTCAAGTATGTATGGATTAATTTATATTTATAAGTCTAAATGAAACCAAAACTCACACTTACTGCCATTGAGTGGATTCTAACTCATATTGTCCCTTTAGGACAGGGTAAACAACTGCCTCTGTGGATTTTGGAAACTAACTCTATATTTACAGGAATAGAAACCTCATCTTCCCTGTGGGGAGACGCTGGTGGTTTTTAATTGCTGACCTAGAGCACACATATACAGATCTTCATTACACTTATTTTTCTTTGTCCTTAAGCTATTTCAGTTTTTAAGTGCACACATTATTTGTTACTGTATTTGATATATCCCAGGTGACTAAGTAGTTTATATGCTGGACCACCAACCTTCGGACAGCAGTTAGAACCCACCAGTCACTCTGCAGGAGAAAGATGAGTCTGTTTGCTCTCACAAAGAGTTACCAAAGACCAAATTTCACTGTAATCAAATGAGATCATCTTGCTTGCTGAAACTGTAGAGCACCTGAAACACTAACTGATGAACCTACTACAAACTTTAGTATGGATTACGTCTCAGCCTAAAGAAAACAAATGTCCTCAACTGCAACAATGAGCTATTATCATGATAAATGGAGGAAAGAAAACTGAAATCAAGAATTTTATTTTCCATGGATCCCTGGAAACAGAAGTCAAGAAATTAAAAAACAGATTTCATTTGGGCTAATCTACTGCAATAGACTTGATTAAAGTCTTAAGAAGTACAGATGTCGTTTAAAGGACTAATGTGCCCAAGACAAGCCATAGTCTTTTCAGTCTTCTCATATTCATATGAAAGCTAGAACATAAATAATGAAGGTTTTTGATCTCTCGCCATAACTTTTGCTTTGGCATAGTGAGCAAATAATCAGAAAAGCTGGATTATATGAAGAAGAATGTGGCACCAGGATCAGAGGAAAGCTTATTAACAACCTGTGATATGCAAAGGAAACAACCTTGCTAGCTGAAAATTAGGAGGACTTCAAGCACTTGCTGATGAAGATCAAGGATTGCAACGTTCAGTATGGATTTCACCTTAATGGAAAGAAGACAAAAGTCTTCACAACTGGATCAATAGTAACTTCATAATGAATGGAGAAAAAGGGTGGACGTTGTCAAAGATTTTGTCTTGCTTCAAAACACAATCAATGCTCATGGGAGCGGCAGTCCAAAGATCAA